GGGCCGAACCTGTGATATATAATTAACATCTCCCCAACGCAAAAAATACATCTTGAAAACACAATAGCAGTTTCCAAGTCACCGGCTTTAGCGGCGTGCATAAATGCACTCAGTGAATGAACTGAAGATGGAGGCCATTCTATTGAATATCCTAAGATGGCCGTGCAGTGTCTCAATTCAGTAACCGCTGAGCTGCCTATCCCAGTGCATAGAGATCAGTAGCCCTGATACACGGGCGTCGCTAGACCGTTTTGAAGGGGGGGGGGGCACGTGAAATTTGTCAACGAACAGTCACGCAAACGAGTGTAATGTAACTCCCGACAAAACCAACCCATGGGGGGCCGGGGGTCACACCCTCGACATCCCTTTTAGCGACAACGGCACCCTGGTAGACATTCAAAATGATAAGAAATAGGCATGTCGGTTGGATCTTAGTGGAATCTTAAATACAAAATAACTAATACATTAAAAAAACCTGCTGATCCTTTGGTTTTATACATGCATAAGCCTAATGCCTCGCACTTTACACAAAGGGAAATATTCAGACACTGCAGCAAAAGGTTAATATTCATTTTCTCAGACCAGCAAATGCAGCTTACAGCTGAGCAGCGTATGTTTGTGGTAACAGCGTGGTTGAGGACTGGAAGCTTTCAGCTAGTAGCCGATGCATCTGGTCAGCGTTTCCTGACCGTGCCATCCCCACCAAGTCAACAATTTGGAAAAACATCCGAAAGCACCAAAGGGAGGGGACAAGCTTGAATCTCAACAAGGGTCGCTCAGGCTGACGAAGAACGGCAAGATCAAACGTGAACATCAGGGCTGTCCGTGAGTTACTACAAAGAGACCCGCGTGTGTCGGCCGGGAGAAATGGGCTAGGAATTGTCAGAGTTGGGCTGCGGTGAATCTGGTGCAAGACCAGTTCTGACATGGTTGATTGAACTGCTTCGTGCTCAGTCATCTGTGACAGTAAATTGGATTTCTTGGTGTCATAAGAAAGGACACAATCAATAGTTATTGGTGGTTGCCTATTTCCAAAATATTTGTCATGTCCAAGAAATAAAGAAATTAATCTCAGTTTCCTCAAAAAATAGCTTCTGTATTATTGTTCATGGTCCTGAAAATTATGTTGGTCTAAATAAATTTAAATTTGGTGAATGCTTGGTGGAATGTTACGTCCGACGTATGGTGCTCAATCGGAATGCCAAACTCTTTTAAAACAATTCAAGTAAAATATGATTAGTGCAATTACATCATCTGCCTACTTTCTCTCCTTCACAGATCGACCTTAACAAGAAGATGTTCAAGATAATGACCTGTTACAAAATGTCACTGCCCACACAGGATGTTTCATTGTAATTTCCCTTGTTCTGGGTATTTGTACAACCAATGCTTCCTTAGTCAAGGTCGCATTACTACCACGTGGTGTGACAATAGTTGACTGATTGGACGACCATATTGACACATAACCTTCCTCGGTTCCTTCCTCGATGTTTGAGGTGCGTCTGCCCGTGTGGGAGACGGCGCATAATTTGGTGCAACAGTCTGGGACACCTCCAACCCTACTCATGGCACAACTAGGGTTTGTTTCTCGATTTTCCTCAGTTTGATCTAATGTTTGTTTTGTTTTTTTTTGTGCTAAGTAAGGAGATCCATTATCATGAGCCTAAAACTGCGCCTTCAATTCAAATTACCAAATATTTTATTACTGTAACAAATTTATTCTATGCACACGTAGAGTCCTTTTTTGTTTCCGCTGGACGATGAATGAAGCCAACTTCCCAACACGGGAATTTTGTTTTCAACAACAAGCTACATTTCATCTTTGTACTAAATGAATTTCAATGTAACTTAAGAATAACACATATGCAGAAATGGCAAATTCGCTCCAATAAATTACATAATTCAGCGAAACGACCCCAGGCCAATCCTTTTATTTCGCCATCAAATATTTCATGACAGTTAATTCATTCACTTATTACAGAGTGCTTCCTTTATGGTGGCCTCGGAGGCAATGGATACGTTTTAAGACATGTTCATAAACGAGGTAGTACTGACTTTTAAAATAGATGTTATAAAATTGATGGTATTGTACAAAATAAAGCATTCAGCTCCCGGCTGTACAGATGATTAACGGAAGAATATCTAGACCAACAGATGGAAATGCTGTGAACGAATATGCTGCTCAGGAAGGAACCGACGAGGTACCGACGGGGGACTCACTTGGAGTGAGTCACCAGAATTTATGCTCTTGCAGCATAAGCACATTTCCATCCATGACGAATAATCGAAAACGCAACACACAAGGATCTTGTGCATATTCTACATGTAGGCCTACACATATACCCGGGCAATGCGTAGCATGGCAGGACATATGCAAAACAGAAAGTGAAACGTGATACGGCAATTGGGAGGGGAGTTTCTTTCGGGGGGGGGGTTACTCGCGTTTTGTAGGCGGTAAAAATAACAATGGGGTGTATGAATAAGGAGGTTGCCACGGCTGGGAAAAAGAAATCAACGAGACAAGTGAGCAAAGCGAGCGTTGGTGCGGAGTGTTTTTTCGTCAGGTGCTGCAATACAAATGTTACGACAAGTGTCGTTGGTGTACTCTGCAGTGCCATTGGGCAAGACAGTGAAGGCCCAATACAAGAGGCATTTTACATGTAAGTCAAGTAGCCTGCAATTAATGCGTAATTAGGATCAAGCGTTCATTGATATTTGTCTAAATGCGTATTCCGTGTTTAAAATTGACAAATCTTAGTTTGAGTCATGTCGTTGACATCTTGTGTAAAAGCTGCATTCACATTTTTGTATCATAGTAACTCTTTTGCTATATTGCCACACACTACACAACTCATTGATGTAATTGTTACTACAGTGTAGGTTCGTGACACATGAGGCTATAAGTATCAGTCAAAACATGCGGATCTGGTAGAAAATACACTGCAAACCTTCACGCACAAAAGACCACCACCAACTATATTTTGTCTACATTTGGGAGGTGGGGTTGTCATTCAGAATAGCTTCATGATACCTTAGATACTGCTATGTGGGAAAATGGAAGGCCGTTACTCAAACCCACGTAACATAGTACAGGAAAATGGGGATTATGCTCAACTGTCACATACTCTTCAAGTGTTTTACTAAAAACTTGATTCTTTCTCAACGGCAGAGCCGAACCAAGATGGGTGAGGTTGTATTTTGCAGGGTTTACATGGCTGTGAAAGTCCAAAGCTTTGGTCTGAAATTTTGTCCTTTTCTTATATTAAAAACAAATCAAAACAATACCCCCCGAAAAAAAAAATCGGTGGGGGAGGGGATAAACCTGCAGGGCCCCAATCCACCATTGTTCTGACTAACAGCGTCTTTAAAGTACAAAAGAAACTGGACATAATTGAGGCTACGTAAACTTTTTCATTTTTCGTACTCAAAAAATTTTGAGGAGGCAATGTACAACTGACTCCAAACCGAGGTCACCGGTGGTTCCGTCTTGCTGGGTTGGACAAAGGAATTGCCCACCAAAACGTTTTTCCCAACACTGCCACCAAAGAACAAACAACTCAACACCGCAACAAACAAACATAATTCAGTTTTGGCCATTCGAGCGCTGAACCCGTGGTTTCATAAGCTGATAAAATAAGCGTGGCCTGATTAGTCTGAGTCTCGGCTTAATTGCTTAGCCCTGGGAAATTCTTTGAATTAAAGTTTTTCAAATCTGAGTAAGGTTGATCTTAAAATAACATCGTCCAATCAACGTTTGGCCCTTGAGCTATAATTATCACTAGATGTCGCTGTCTTTAGTCACGTTGTCCAAGAGACACGCAGCAAGAGACGTAACTGAAAAAAAACTAGGGTATCAGTGATCATCATTATATTAATATAATATCATTATCTTAATGGCCACCGCTTTCGCTGAAGCCGTGAGTTACAATGTCAAACATGTCGTTATCGTCAATAGGTATTCCTGATCGTGCAACTTGAAGCAGCGAGAGGACCCCATCTTGTATGCCACAGCGGCAAGTTTCAATATCTGGCGTCTGCGGCCTTCCAGTTGTGATGTAAGCACACAACAAACGGCATTGGTCGTTGACTTCTGTATTCATTAAAAATAACCCCAAAAATGTGTCGGCCCCTTGTCTCCTTTTGCTCATAATTTGTTTCAGACAACCCCCAGGAGACAAACACACACCAAAATAAAACAAAACGGAACCAAGAATCAGAAATCCGTCGAGTATACAAAAAAGCAAAAAATGAACAGAATGACCGTGAAGTAAAACACACAAGAACAAAGCCTGACACAAAATGCTACTCCGAAAATGCAAAGATGCACCCCTCCAAAAATTCAAAAATACAGCAAAGTAAACCAAACCCCCAAACAACAAAAACATAAACAATTAAAAGCCCTGTAGGACATGTATGCAACGTACATGTCCTAAAAGATACCCGGAATTCCATATCCCTTAATCTGCCTAAAAATCATTTGTTTACCTGTGGACCTACATTCCCCATGCCAAATACATGACAACTAGGCTCGAATTGGCAACAGAGGGACACATGCATATGCTTTATCCGAAAGATTTGTTCTGCAGACAGATGGGATGTTCTAACGCTGTGGAAAAGATTGGTCACTTACATCCAGTCGGTTCCAACATGGTCACGGCACCTGATAATAATAACTACTGTTTTTGGATATGTAAAAGGAGGTTTAAAAAGTCCGAACATGTAACATAAGGCTTCAGCTTTAAAGTCACTGATATTTTGCCCTCACTAATCTTCATCCTGAAATGCTACACACAGGACATACATCTAGTGTGCACTATCTCAGTAAAACAACCATGGATGAAAAAACCAAAACGCATTTCAGAAGTGAAAAGTTCTCCACAATTTATTTCCTCATTATTCAAAAGGAATGAACAATAATAGTTTACTTAGCTACTACAATCCAAGTCGTAATCTTCAACATACAAACGAGGACAGAAATGACAAGGGAAAGAACGACAGTTTTATGTCCTTTATTCCTGCGCCCATTTTGGGTGGTGTGCTTAATAACTTTACCCGTGTCCTTAAGATACTTCACACAAAAGTGGACCCATTATAATGTTTCTCTGAAGTCCATCAAGCCTCCAAAGTGAGAAACGATCCAGGCTTCTCATTCAGTGTGTGCGCACATTGACAGGTTGTATAGCAGATCTTCACACACACATAGCGGTTTTGGGTATTTCAAACAACCCTTTACAGCAGCCAAGAAAAGGCAAATATGGCATAAATAACAGGGGTGAATTCAATAGTACAATACGTACGGTGGTATTGGCATACCCTATACAGTGTGTATCCAAAAACGCAACAAGATTTCTGTTGAAGTTTGTAAAAATTGTGTTAGCTTTACACCAAAGTGAGTAGTAGCACCTTAAAGCCACCTATCTCCTCTTTCCAATGATATGTTATTTATTCATACACGGTCATGGACGGCTGACTAATCATTCTTTTCGGACAATAGGACAAAATGGGCTTGGGACAAAGTTTCAGTTTAGTTACACCAGCATAAATCCTGTTCAATTCTCCATCTCTCTTATGAAATGTTCAGACAAGCGAGTCATTACATAGTCTCTAGATCAAAGGTGTGTTGCATTAATGTGCTTGTTACAGGTTCTAGCCCTGCAGAAAGATATCCTGAAGAAAGCAATGTTAAGTTGTGATTATTCATTTCATTATTTCATGTTGTCAAGTTAGTTTCTAATAAGATTCCATGGTTATTGCAGTGTCTAAGACTTGGTCCCAAGCCAATTTTGTCCCATTGTCCAAAAAGAGTGATTAGTCGGCCATCCATGACCGTGTATTGAAGAGGAGATGGGCGGCTTTAAGGTGCTACTACTCACTTTGGTGTTAAGGTAACACAGTTTTCACCAACTTGATCAGAAATCTTGTTGCGTTTTTTATGATACACGCTGTAAATCTTCATGGTAGATGCGGTATATGCAGAGTATTGTGAGAATGAATGCGTTCCAGGTGTCTGTAAAGTCCTTGTTGACAGCTATCCCCTCCCCCCGGCAAACACAGATCTGCCCCTCATCAGAGAGAACTGGAAACAGGAAAAATACATGTTTGTTCTACCTGCAAAATCATGACACCCGTCAAAATACCGGTAACTCTACCGTTCAGGGCGGCAAAGGCACCACAATAGCTTAAGTGTGCACTAAGAATCAACCGCTGTTCCCTCAAATGGGTGTTAGTCTACGTTACTTCCATTAATATTGTCAATTATTTGGAGGGAGCCAGGAGTGGTGATTTCTGGATGACAGTTTACCCACTTTTCTGATGAAACATGTGACCTGTGGCATTCTTGGCACCCTATTAAAGGCCCATCATTGCTGAATTATTGTGTGATGTATAGACCCCAACCTACCCCATTATCAAAAGATAGTGTGGTATGACAGCACTGACACTCTTAAATATCCATAATCCTAATATGAATAATTTATACAGCCAGTCAATGCCTTAACCGTGGATTGGAATAACACTCATTGCAACTGAAATGCACATCTTCTCATGTGAATTGTTCAGAACCCAGTCATTTGAAATGCCTTATTACACACATATCACATGTCATATATGACACGTGATATGTTTTCATGGAACCCAGACCCAATTTCACAGCTCTCCTTCATATACATGTCGGTGAAGAACCTCCACTGGCTTCAGCAGTAAATTCTCATCTATTTCACAAGTAAGCTTTAAACACGGAACATAACCCTGACCTTTTCAATACAACTTGGTGGTTTTTCTGTAGAGGGCATCAACCACTTTGCCCATGCTCTGAATGGTGTTCAGGGACATCTCGTATGTCTGGTCCACAATGGGCTCATCAAAGACAATCAACACACCTTCACCTTGATCTAGAATACCTGTGACAAGAAAAAATTTGAGAAATGTAAATGTAAACGCAGTTTTACAAGAAAGTGCAATGTCTCCCTCTTGAAGAGTGATTGACACATTGACTGCCGTGCACAATTTCACAGGGCATTCCTATCTGTCAAGCGTTGTATGCATGCACGCATATTTAATAGGTACTATTCAGGTGTCCACTTGAACATGTGCATTTTACAGATGTATGTCCTCAGTACTACCAGCAGCATATTCGTTGTGTTCTCAGTGATGCCAATGTTATCAATTTACAATACAAAAGCCTTTTATTTTCTATGAGTACACCCATAGGTCGAGTTCAGGTGGCCTGTTCTTGACACGGGTTTCTTGTTCTCGCGCTCGAATGGCGGGAACACAACTCAAGGATACTGTTCTCGGGATCGGAACAGGATCACACACCACCTCCTCGTCAGGGTTTGCAGGAACACACGGAAAAACTCGAAAGATTTTGATTTTCGAACATTTGCAAAAAATAGAGTGATGGCTTACAAAGTGGGAGACAATAGGAAGTTTTGCAAAATTAACATTAATTATTTTCCATAACAAAGAAGTAAACGTTCCTGTTTAAACTGGAAAAAAAATTCAGCCAAGTTATCTAAACATTAACTCTTGAATGACGCACATGTACATGGACGCCGCCATGTTGCATGTTGCTTGTCACTGACTACCAGCGATAACCAATTGTATGTTCCCAGCGTTCGAGCGGCTGACGGAAGAACAACAAATCAAGCTTTTCGGGAACATACGAGAACAAGCTGCCCGAACTCAGCCACAGAGACAGCATCTGGCAGCCAGCATGTTACAAACACGACGGAGTACTGGTGCAATGCTGACATTTTGGTAAAAGAACTTCCACCACTGTCCTGAAAAACTGAGTGACACAATTCCGCCTGATGGCTATTGAAGCCCCAAAACATTAAAATATGTTTACATGAATTTGAAAGTAAATTATTAATGAATGCAAAAACTGAAGCAATGCATTACATTGTAAAACAAACCAATTACATGTACAATGCAAGATTATACCTGCATTGGAAAGTCTGGCCCACTTTATACAGACTAACATGTACTTGCACTTTTTGCCTGCAAGCGGTGACAAAATTGAGACAGCCCATCAAAGAAAAATTGGTTGCATCCTTGTTTGCAGCAACACTTATTTATATCTAGCCGTCAACAAACATTAATTGCTGACACTCAGCTTAGACTAAACTGTCATCTTCGTAAGAGTTACAAGCAACTCAACCATTAACCAGCATATTTACACAGTTTTGCACAATTTTTTGAGAGGGAATATGACTATAACACTGGCTTTTAACAACATTTGACTTTAAGATGAAACTGTTATTAAAAATGGCTAAGCTTGGGGTGTTTTAATATTTATGAACAACAGGTTGTATGGTAAAACACAAGCCAGCTCCAGTACTCACCATGGAATTTCTTGTCCAAGATCATCTGTGACAATTTTCTTTCAACAAGGTTCTGTAAATAAATAATACAACCTTTTTAGGATTGCTCACAAGGTATTTTAAACCCGATTAATATCAATGTATTCATTGTTTTCAGATATAGAACTATTTGGATTAATTGGGCTGTAACAGAAAACTGATAGAAAGGTACACTGTTAATTTAAATATGCATTTTGACATTCAAAGGTTGAGATGTTCAGACTGAGGAGACATGATTCCAAAGGAAAGTATTACCTAAATAGTTAAATGAGAGAAGTTTGAGTAACAAACGTCATTGCCGATGTGCAATTTTCGCATGTGCAGCTGTGTTCCACTGTGCTGCTCTGGGTCTGTGCACATTCCGAGGAAATGTGGTGCCTCCTTGAACACTTATGTAAGGGCACATGGCGCATTGTCATTATTCAGCACAAAGTCCATACCACAAAGTAATATCCGGCTGCACGAGCATTTCATAGTTGCAATGAAACATTACCAACGGGACAGTTTTGGGGCACCACAAAGTGATGTGCTATGTACTGTGTATAGGCTTTGTGCCCACAATACATCAGTTCATGATACGGTCAGTGTACATGGCATGCCATATCATGGTACAAACTTTGATTGTACATCGCTGCTCACTGAGATCAAATCACATGACTAAAACTGACCAATGGGATCTAATGAAACTGAGAAAATACCCTTGACTGACCAATGGGAGCTTGATGATGCTGGCTACATGGGCCACTTGCACCCGAGAGAATGGCTCAATGATGCGACAGAGATTCTGCTCCAAGAGATTATCGTAGAGAGAATCAAGGTGGGCCTGAATGATTGGGTCCTCCTCAAGCTCCTTTTTGTACTTGCTTTTTGTCTGGTTAAATATAAAAATTGATAACAGACAATTTGAAAAGGTTGCATATGGATCAATACTTGATTACAACTATCGTTACATACATGTCTGACAGAAAATTCAAATGTCCATTAATTAAATACATGTACACCAGTTAAAGCTTGTGTCTGTAAATGTATTGATCCTGAGAAGGCTGAATCTAGAGCCAAATTTGGGAGGGGGAGGCAGTTTTTCCGGTACACTTTGCATTAAACTGACTGCACCTGTCAAAATTAAGCAGCTGCTCAGGAACAATTTCGTGAACGAAATGGCTCTGTCAATACAAAACAGCCTCTACTGAAGGCACTTAATATCTTCACTCAGACTGATTAAAAAAAAAATCTTTTTTGGGGGGAAGGGGCATGGCTCCCATTGCCCCCCCCTTCCCGTCTTTTGACCCTGAGATGTTCAAAGCTGAAAGCCTGAGACAAAACCAAGGTTGGGCAAATGACAAAAGAACAGAGAGGGACACTATACCTGTTGGAACTCTGACAGGGACCTGTTCTTACTGGCATTTGCTATGCACTTCATGGCCTCTACGTTTGGCCCAGCATACCGCAGAGCCAATTTCCCACTCACGATGGACTGTACGTCATCAGCACTAATTATGTAAAATAAAATTTCTTAATTGTTACAAGCACATTTAAGCAAAATGGCATCCATAGTGTGAAATTAGGTCTCTATGTATTGCCCATGACCTGGGGTGAATTTTCTTACAGCAGAATATAATCTCCATATGATTAAAATCACATCACATTACACTATGTTCATGCAGTCACTTTCATAACCTGCCATTCCCAGCAGTAGCAAATTTAAAGTTCATTTTTAAATTCCTCAAAATGCTATGAAATCATTTCAGCTTTGTTAACAAATGTAAAATCAGTTTGAGGAGTTAAGTATCTTTGCACTGAAATACGAGCTGACTTGTTCCAACACTTTCATTCAAAAGTTGAGAATGTTTCTTTGATGCTCCCACCATTTCAGTGACTGCGCACTGGGCACTATACACTAGAAAACGGGAGTTTGTGAAAGTTCTTCTTAGTTACATGTGAGTAGACAAGGTGGCATGTTGAAGAATCAATTTGCTCCTTTTGCTAAAAACTTCTCACAATTTAAAGCTCAACGTGTTCATGATGAAATAACTGTGGTACAAATGCCTAAATATTAATTAGGTGGGCAGGAAGATTACTTGTTGTATAGTCCAGTCAGACAAATCTTTAACAAATAAAACCTTAATGTAAACTGCTCATTACAACATGAGGTTAAGAACTCACCAGTTTAGCATTATCTTTGACAACAGCATGTACTTGAGGGCATCTATGGCTTTGGGGCTTTCAATTGAATCATAACCTTCAAATGCTTCATAGAAGTAAGAGAAGGCAGTTTTGAAATCTCGCTCATCAGCTGCATGTAGCACACCTGGGCAAAAATTACCAGTTTTATAAACAATGAGCCCCGAGCTGGAGCAAGAGAGGAAGCAATTTTCCTAGCAACGCAGGCTCTTTTAGTAGGAACTGCATTTTGCTGGTTCAAAAACGACTAAAACGCATGCATTACAGTGGCATTGCTACCAATAAAATGAGCACTCCAGACCAGCATGGCTCTTTTTAACCGATGAGGGGGTGCTTCTGCTCAAGGCGGATAATGGTGACATAATTTGCTCTGAAGCACTAGTATATACAAATCAAGTCAGATTAAGTTACAACACTGTCACTTCTGTATTGTTTCAGATCAACTAAATCAAAAGTTACATATTTCACGAAAGCAATTTTTTTTTAGCAACAGAGATCACCAGCATTAATCAATGAACCTCTTCAGCATAAAATATACTTTGTAGAATAAAGTGAGTACTTTGGGGGGGTATTCAATCAAACTTAATGTGAAATTACCAATAATGCCTTCCATGTTTCATACAGTTCAAAGAGAACTGTAGGTACTGTAATCGGAAGTACCAAGACATAGTGGCAAACCTTGAGCATAAACCTATTCATACAGGTGTATTATCCATTCACTAACGATGCCAAATGGGCCTACCTGACTGCAAATCTAGGGCTGCTTGAAGTTTTGGGGGACAATAGATGGCATTAGCGGTGGTCCTTGCTGACGTAAGAGCAGCTCTATCATTTAAAAGGAGAAAGGGTTTACTTGGCTCAGGCATCGATTTTGAGTTAACACAGAAGTCCAATTTATGACCCCAAAGTTGGTAAATGACAAGAAAGAACCTTTGGTGATTAGTTTGAAATAGCTCCTTGAAAATCCAAGTAATAAAGTAATAATGAACTCCTCACTACAATTTAAAGTAAATGCGATCTACGGCTGAAATGATGCTTAGAGCATACATGTAGGTTACTCTATGTGAAATTACCCGCTGGTTTCAACCCGTCTCTGTAAATTTGGTCCATATTTGGTGTACGGGGTGAGTGAGGCTGGAAAAGTGGAAATTTCAAGTTGCTGAATATCAATAAATTTGGAATGGGTGGGATTTCAAAACTTCCAAAATTTTGGGATGATTTGACATGGAATGACTCACATTGTATAAGAGTTGCCCTCAAGCTCAGTGGGTTATTAAGCCAAACAGCATGACAGAGATTTGTCATTTTTTTTATTTGTAAACATCACTAGAAATGAAATATTCAGAAAAAAAACAGTGGTAAACATATGGTAAAGTGGAATGCCGTTATAACGAGCCACCAGGGTCCACGCTAAATGTTCAGTACAGCGGTCATTCGGTAGAGCGAAATTAACTGCCGAACTTTTTGTTGCCATGTTGACCAGTGCCTTCTCTTGTCTAACCGAAGTGCACTCTCTTGTGATACTATGATTCGCTTTTTTCATGATATTTCCCCCTTGCATTCACGTTTCAGGTTTCTAGAAATGTATTTGTTAATTATTTTTGTTTTTTACGAAATGTTGAGATACAAAATTGCTATTTAGTTTATCCTAAAAGTCACTCAGGATCGATCTCTGATGCATGCTGTGGCAAATCTCGGTTGATTTGCAACTACATAATGTTCGGTAGGTTTTGTGCACAAAATATTGGGAGCCAAGGACGATGTTTGGTACAGCCGAATGTTCGGTATAGCGGTGTTTGGTATAGCGACATTCCACTGTAATGGCGTGCGTGATAATTAAATGCTTTTATGTACACTATACCTTGACTTTGGAAGATTGCCAAGGGCGTAGTACACCTTGCTTTCCAGAAGCTGCACCTCTACAAGTAATGCCTTGTCGTCCATTTTCTTCAACTCTTTCAGTAACCGTGACCCTGTCCAGAAATGCACATGACAAAACCCTCAATGTCATCATGTTTATCTGATTTGCTCCACTGGATGATTTTTATCAAATGGAGTACCTACTGTTCACACCAAACGTTCAACAATGTGTTGGCAATTATTTAACTGTTGACACAGTCGGGGCTGTGACTCTGCTTCCACATCAGAGAGGAATTATATTCTTACATGTATCTCCGAATGGATTTAACAGAGAGAATAAATCAGACAGACGGGCAGTCTGTTAGAAATTACAATTTGTTTACACTTCCATTTCACATTGAAAAATTGAAACAAATTAACATTTCCATTATTTAATATACTATTGCGATAAGAAAGGAAATCTGAATGTCCAAATTATAGCTTACCTACTGCAAGGGCATCTGTGTACTTCTTGGTATCATAATACAATGCAATGAGTCTTGACTCAAGAGCTTGCCTCAGGAAGGTACGTTTCTCAGTTGTGGCCCATTCTATGCACTCCAGGCACAAAGATACCTTTTCAAATCATAGGTGCAAAAACAAGTTGACTGAAATTGCTTCACTTACAAAACTATTTGCTAAATTGTTTCAAATCAGTGTGAAAATATTGTGTTATTTAAAAGATACTGTTGCTCATGCTGACAATACTAGAGCAAAAGATGCAGTATCTACTGAATTCAACACTGTGCAGCAGCTACATGTGGGAACACATGATGCAGAACACCTAATGGATTCAACAGTTTGGATAAAGGTCTATTACTGTTCACTGACATCATCAGGATCCAATAGAAAGTCCCTCCTGGTGGATCCAAAGCGACCCAAAAAAAAAACATATGTTTGGCATGGCTATCTACACATGAAGCAAAGTCCAGCAGTTCTGATCTTGTTTCAGTTTGTGATGTGTCTGTCACAGTAGCCACTGTGGTGCTGGTTTTGGAGTTTGGTGTTGGTTTGCGGTTTGTTTCGGTTTTTGTCTGTTTGCTTGCTTGTTCTGCTTTGTTTTTGCATTAGGGACTTACTTCGTTTCCTGTGCCAGCTTCCATGTCAAGGAACAGGTCCACCAGCGCTCGGACAAGCTTTGCTGCTTTGGCTTTGTTGACGAACGACAGGAATGGTCTGGTGAACTTGATCAGCCCACCCAATTCTGGTTTAGTGTGAGAATTAAAAATACTATGTGGTAGGATCCTAATCAGAGGGGTTGGTGGTAAACAACTCAGACAGTGGAGGTAGCCAGAGGCAGGGCTGTGAGTGGCCACTTCAAACTAAAGCTAAAAACAGCTAGCAAAAAGCTGAAATGTAAAAAGTTCCTGTACTTTTGTACAGACCAGGTGTACAAAAAAGCTGAAATTCAGGGTCAACATCTGAACAAAAAAGCTGAAATCAGCTAAAAAGCTGAATTCTCACACCTCTGCAGAGGAATCATGGGTTTCAGTCATACATAAAAGTTAACTGTGTTGAATAGTTTTTATCTACAACCACTTGGACAAAACACTTCATCATCTGCAGCAATAAGCATGGGAGAATCTAACCAGGCAGTCATGCTTTCATTAGAAATGCATTAGAAATATATGCATTTCTCCCGCCATGTACATTCCATTGTAGAGTGTCACAGTGGTCGCTGTGGTGTTGTTTGGGGGTTTTGAGCAGCCAAAAAATTTATCCGTCTTTAAAGGCCTTTCTGGAAAAGTTTTATCTCTTCAGCTGTTACATATACATGTACATGTACATCACATGGGAGGGGGTCTACATGGCAATGCCCTAAGTAAAAACCCTTTGTGATAAAATCTTTCAAAAACAAATCAAAGTTATTAAATAAAAACAGAAAAATTTCTTGCAGTGACTAGTTCTTATTTTACCTGGAATGTCCATTTTGTGTCAGTGACCTTTTGCATGTTTAAGAAAACCCTTTGTTCAAACAAACGTTTGGCTGTGAACCAGTCCTGTTTTTTTTCCCTGATAAAGAGCCAGCATCACACAAAGCTAAACAGTATATACAGAAGCAAGCGCACACCACATAAATGTACATGCAAGACATTTAATTTCACTTCCATTATGAACAACCATGTGGCAAAATGAACCAAATCCAAGTTGCAGAACTTTGAGTCTTTTCTTTCTCCCCAAACTCATTATAACATCCATTGTTTGAAATGATACAGGAAAGGCATCTTATTGCAGGGTATATATCCATTTTCTGTTCATAGCTTTTAAGAATTTTAGAAGGGAACAGAACAAAGTGTGAAACTGTACATGTAGGTCTGAATACCTCTTCATCCCAGTGCCTGTAAAAAAAAACAATTTACAATCTTAAGACACTTAACCATGTTGAAAGTGATTTACCCACTGCTTTGTACAAAATGTGAATCTGAAATGGCCCTGCAAAAACTAAAATTCCTGGCAACTTCAAGAAGAGATTCTGACCTTCAGCCTGTTTAGTCTTTGCAAGAAGACTGCCCAGTTCCATGATGCTTTGCTCTTTGATTCGAACCCCTTCTTCATCTGATGCATCAACATCTAGTTTTACTGTGTGAAAAGATAATATTATTAATATGTAGAGGTTATAGTAAGAGAGGACACAACATGACATCCACAATTCTACAGTTAACCCCAACTCCCTAACAAGTGTCTTTCACCAGGCACTGGACCAAATCCAACACAGTCCACATTTCTTACTGAAAAGTTTACCACTGGTAGCTACATGTAGATTCATGGACCAAGACACTGGTGGCATTGTTCCTGATATGTTTTTTTTTTAATCTCTGTGTGACTGTTGTTTTTGACCTTGATTAATTCCAAATGGGTACAATGTACTTACATGAAGAATGAAATTGTGATTCGCGGAATCTATGGACCTTAATTGACTTAAAAATTTAAAATTGACCAATGAGACTGACCAATGATAAAAATAGCTAAAAACAGCTGAAACATAGAATGAAGAAGCTGAACTGTGAAAATCTCCTATATTTTTATACACAGCTAGTGAGGAAAAAAGCTGAAATCAGCTAAAAAGCTGAGAAATCTCACCCCTGAAATCCGCAGTATACCATTTTGCAAAAAAATGTATTCGACCCCCAAAATGACACGGTAACGTTCACAGAAATCCCAATTTCAGATAGATACCTGTACATGTATGACTGAATATCCAAAAATGTACTCTGATTTTATTGGTTCATCTTACCTATGATACATGTACATGTTAGATTCGATTTGCAAGAAAACTGAAACATGCGGTGGTTATAATTACTTATTACCTTGCACATTATCATTATCAATTGATATCTACCATTACAATGGGGGGGCCTGAGAGCCCCCGCGGTTGGGAGAAATTCTGGTTCACTCCCCCTTCCCGCAAATTCCAGACCTACATTGTGTACCAGATATCGATATATTTGAAACTGTATGTTATTTCGCAATATTTATATCATAAACTGTCTAAAGACGCCTTATAAGATCACAGGTACATGTATTTAACCTATTAGTATTAGGCCTATGCATATTGAAATGTACACAGGCTACTATGGTGCAGATACATTTTATCATAACTTCCGTTCTAGTCGCCTTATGAATGCAAATTTAAAACCTTCTAAGAAGACATTGTAATAAAAATTAAAGAAGGCCTGCGTGGAGAGCCCTCCCAGAGGACATGTTTGATAATGACAATGAATGCACAAAGGGTTTACTCGAGCGTATCCTAGAGGAAGAATGAAATTCCCTCTAATGTAATGTCATACGCCGGGGGTTTATTGGAACATTGTGAAATTTTGATGAATGTACATGTAGCTACCACTGGCGTGACTGTCTTTGTCAATGTACCTATTGCATATACAGGTAGCCCTACCGGTACATGACATCATCAACACTGTTGCCATGACAAAATGCACTGAATGTCCCAACAGTGCTTCAGACCTTCTGGACCGAATAAACATTTGGTCTGAATCTGAATCATATACGCGTAGTTGGCAAGGCATCCATCGGGAACATCACATCAACTTCATTATTATTATTAATCATTTCTGGTAATGACACCAAGGATTCCTCAAAGGCGCGTGCCCTAGGCATTGTAAGCTCGCAAGCCTGAAAAAACCTGTAGAGAGGAGACAGTGAGAAGCATTATAGTTTTAGAGGTGGGAGGAATATTCTCGGCAGAACCCACGGAATCAGGGACTGAAAACCCAATTGGGGCCAGGTGGACAGGGCCAGGATTCGATCCCGGACCGCGGAAGGTGGAAGGCAAGGAAGGTACTCAGGTACCTACATGTACATGTATGTCAGGCCTTCTAGACTGTATCCATCAAACATGTCAAAATCAAAACCCCCAGCAAGCATGACAAGCGGGGGTCTTACTAATACCATCATTACACCATCAACACACAATAGTAACGTAAACAGTGCCAACTCCTCCAAAATACAAGTTCAATCTACAGGTACAAAAGAGGCATACATGTAGAAGTCTAATACTTGGGCTGAAAGAGACTTTCTAGTACAGCAATTGGAAGTCACAAATCAATTTTCAAAATGGAGTTTTTTCACACGAAAAAATTATTTCTAGCAGCGTAGCTGTTCACTGACATCTTGCCTTCTCATGGGGCTTGGACTGTACCATTTAGGGGTGGGTATGCAACAGAGGGCACCGACTGGTAGCTCAGATGGTTGGTGAATTGCTTGGATCATGTTCTGAGTAGTATTTTGTAAATTTCAATTTTTTTTAAATTTTTAACTACCATCACTTCCTTTTATGAAATCTGTATGTTTTGTGGATGATCTGACAATTCCAGACCCCACAGTCATCAGTAGAATCACTGTGTTTTCCTGATTTCGTATGTGTTATGGGGGAATCTCAGAAATTTTGGGCATTTCTTCACAGACTATTTTATACAAATCAGGAGTTAAAATTTAACATGTCTTTTGCTAAGCTGCTTAACCTGGGAACCCTGAATCTCCTCTAAAGAATTGTCATCCGACAAATTTAACTGTTTCCTTAGTCGTCTAGAATTGATAGATTTCACCTTTCTTTTCTCTGGTCTGGCAACATTAAAAGTAGATGCACTAAAGCCAAATTCATCTTCTGATGCAGGAAAACTCTAATCCCAAACTGATTCATTCAAGGCAGATGTGGGAGAGGAAACGGGAGACAGATCTGGGAGGGAATTGATGAGCTGGAGATGGGCTTGATGGAGGCAGAACTGGGGATGGAGGCGGACTTGCATGGGGCGGAAGTGGAGATGGAGGCAAACTTGCATGGGGCGGAAGTGGGGATGGAGGCAGACTTGCATGGGGTGGAAGTAGGGATGGAGGCAGACTTGTAGGGGGCAGAAGTGGGGATGGAGGCAGACTTGCATGGGGCGGAAGTGGGGATGGAGGCAGACTTGCATGGGGCGGAAGTGCAGATGGAGGCAGACTTGTTTAAGAAAAATAAAAATATAGTAACTTTAAAGGAAAAGGCATTGTAACGGCTGCCTCTGTTTCTTTATCATATAATATTACAACCCCTCTTGCTTAACNTGGGGCGGAAGGGGGATGGAGGCAGACTTGAAGGGGGCAGAAGTGGGGATGGAGGCAGACTTGCATGGGGCAGAAGTGGGGATGAGGCAGACTTAAAGGGGGCGGAAGTGGCGATGGAGGTGGACTGATCAGCAGACTTAAACATGTTTTTTCTCTTGAAGTTTTCAAAATTCTACACACCTCGGTAGTATTTCCATGTTTCTCTACTGCATCAAGACTGTTTTTGTCTCCATTAGAGGAGGGTAAAATATATACCAGCAGTTTGTACCTCCAGATAGCATGTAAAATAAACACTGGTGTATGACATTTCTCACCCATTGGATATTGGGTATGAGTTCCTTAACAAATTCCTGTGAAGTCTTCAGAGAAGACTGGCGAAAAGGAATATAGTTTGATTCTTTGAATTGAAATAAACTTATACCTGATTAAATTCTAGCTTAAGAGCCAACTGATGTCTATCTTGAGTACTTTGTTAAATTATTTCTTTGACTTTTGCCATTTATGTGCTTTATTTTTCAGTGTGTGTGCGGGGGGGGGGGGGGGCAAAGTCAAAGAGCAAATGTGGCTTCGGGCTTATTCAACATAATGTTGGGGGAACAAATATCAAAAGGTCCCAAAATCTTTGCTTTTATTTTGCGGTATTTTCGAAGGGTTTTACTGCTAATATTTTACAAATAAGTATACTGATTACTTCCTTTCCAAAGTTCTGTATTTTTTGTGTTATTTTTTTGTTGCCTCCCTGCCCCCTGCTGGATTCATCACTTGGTGTATTAAAGTCACATTCACAGCCAGAAGTTTAATCGAGATGGCTGTAAATTAAAATGCTTTTTAAGAAGGTAAATATCAATATCTAGCAGAAACAACATCATACAGTTGTAGATTTTATTGAACACCGTCACTGTTAAAATACGAATGGGACAATTCTTAAGAAAAATAAAAATATAGTAACTTTAAAGAAAAAGGCATTGTAACGGCTGCCTCTCTTTCTTTATCATATAATATTACAACACCTCTTGCTTAATNGGTATGGTCCCAGCTGCCCCACTGCCCCAGTGGCAACATGGCTGCTGATTTCTGAGCTGGTTCGAAGGAGGCAATTTCAGCAAAATTAAAACAGCAATTTCCCAGAGTCTAACATGTTGAGGTTTAGCCAACAATATTCAGTTGCGAACACTTTATGGTTGAGTAGGCTTACCGCCAGTTTGGGTTTAAAGTGTTTTGGCGATGTTGATGCTGTGTTGATGCTGCGCTGACGCTGTGTTGATGATTTGTTGCATGTTGACGGTGTGTTGATGGTGATTTGTATGACTGCAAGTGGGAGTGGATTTTAATGGACTTGGCCGGGATGGTCTGGTGGTTTGGCTTATTGCTTTCCACAATCATGACAATAAATAAGCATTTGCCAATTCAGATTCAACGAGGCCACCGAGCTGCTGTAGCAGCTCACTCAATATACACACTGTTCAGAAAACACACACGTCAATCAAAAAACCTTTGCACGTGTAGGCTACATAGCCTACATGTACATCATAATGGTTTGGATCAGGCATGCTACATGTAGTTGCTACCACTAAATTTAAAATCAACGTGACTCAACAAAATTAAACCAGTCTGACACTTGATCAACCTCGCCGTTTCTGTTCGTGCTGAAACAGATCATCAGCAAAAATTTACTTCAACTGATGTCATATAGCCTACATCCACTCACATCAGAATAAATCTGAACTTACCAATGCTGTGCAGAATTGAAATTGCAGAAGATTTGTCGGTTTCAACAAGGGACAGGGCTTTCTCTAACTCGGCGGCCGCCATTTTGCTTTTCACAATGGTTGGACTGGTGCTCTGGCAAGACATATACCGCAACACGATTACAAACTGGGAATCGATTCGATCATCTCTTTTGGCGGACCATTGGCCAGAAACCATGGGGCAGCGGAATTTCGGGCATCGTGGTCTACCTTCGAAACATGGAGATCGCGAAAGACACTTCATAGAAAACAGACGAAGGTCAATGGATATTAAGTAGTTTTAATGACCTATTTTTGCATAAGTTGTGTCTAGTCGTTGTGCATGTCGTGAGCATTCTGCTGTAAATCTCCAGTTTTCTAAAATTTAAAAAAAAAAATGTATTACATTCCAAGAGGCGGGAACAGAGGAGGAGCTGACCAGTTTACGTGGAGTAGCGTAAAAACAGACAAAGACCGGGAGTATTACTTGGGTTCGTTTATTTTGTTAGACATGCAAGCACTTTTTTTTGCTGACATGACTGGTGTAGGCCTGTAATGCACATGTAAAAAAAATGATGTATGTACATGTATATTGACGACTTCGAGTGGTATAGTAAAAATGTTCAGCGAAATAAAGCAGTCAGTATTTGTTTTATAACACCTCCCCACAGATTCTGCAAAATTTAAGCTAAAAATCAATGATGAAACACCAAACTGGAATTTACATTCATCAAATTTAATTCAAGAACTCCAAGTGGAACAGCGACGTTTACACATGTTGAATACATTCATTAATCGATGCATGCAAGGTTTTTAGCGATTAATCGCTATGAGCTGAAATACACCCCAATGCTTTTTTTGCTACAGATATAGTTCTTTGGTTGCTATGGGTATAGTTTTTTTTAAGAATGAGGCTGCATGGCATAGTCTTTTTGAAACCAGAAATGAGGCTGCATGGTATAGTCTTTTTGAAGCAGTGGCATAAAAATAGTAAAACTAGCAAGCGTCACATGACACACTTTCGGCCAATCAAGATACAGAATCTGTGGGTGAAGTGTTATAATAGCTAGTAGTCTAGCTAGCCTACATGTTTCTATGTAAAACTGTAGACCTTAGGCAATTTAGGCCCTAGCATAGGTAAGTCAGTCATGTCAGTGGAAGTTGTTGTGTTGTGTAAAATGTTACTGCTCTTCAGCGTAATCTTAAATCTTGCGCCAAAACTGTCAAAAGTGTTTTCACTTCACTGTGATCTCAGGTTGGGAAAGCTCCTATTGACCACAAAATAAAGTTTTGTCCGTCCATAGGCCTGTTCCATGTATTTAGGCCCTGTACACTGTATACATTTACATGTACATCACTACATACACTGTACATGTAGTAAGGTACATGTACATACTACATACACGTACCTGTACAATGTACTGGCATACAATAGTCTCCTATAACTTTTGACACATGCTGTTGGTATTTACACCAAACTGGCATGGCATACAGACCTCAAAAACCAAAGAGACCCACGCTTATTGCAAATTTTAAAAATGTCCAGTTTCTCACTTCATAAAAACTGCAGGGGATAATGATCAATACTGAGTATGATCAAAAGTCTTGTTCTTTACTACAACTGCTCACTTGCTATCTAAGAGTACCACCTCCGCAGTGAATTTCCTGGACTAGGACCTTTCCATCATCATAGAGCTAGTTCTCATTGCCACAGTTTCCAGCCAACATTTCTATCTATGTCACTGGTTGATACATGCTGCTCCTTTTTAATAAGGGGAGTTGTACACAAACTTCAGCTAAGCTGTGCCATACATATACATGTAGGCCTCCTATTGGCACTCAAAGTAACACTGATAATTAATGAAGTACACCAAGATCATCACTCTCGTCTAATTGGTATATGGTTGATCATGGTCTAGTGCATGATGCAGCCCAAGAACATAGAATTACCAGTCATGAACATTTGTACACTTTGTGTTATTTCAAGAACTCCAGTACGTGTACCATTTTCTAAAGCAGAACTGTTTTCTCTGCCAGTTCAAGGGAAAGTAGTGCCTCAAAAATGGCAGAGCTGTTTGGTTTTTGGCATTTGTATGGTGTTCACAGTTTATTTTATTCAAACCCCACTGCCAGGTCACTCCTTGAAGGCACCGGTGGGGCGCTGGCAGGAAGGGCGTGATCTTCAGTGGTTCAATAAACTTAGAACAGATGGTGAAAGTGTATCTGATGAACGGGCGGCTGTCAGGCAAGCTGAGAAAGAAGCAATGATGGCTGCTCTGTAAGTAAAAAAGTACTCACCCCTATACTGACCTTACCAGTAGCAATCGTAACATCTGGCAAGAGATGTCTTGTGGAGCGTTCAAATGAAAGCCAACTGGCCATTGTGTCAATTTTGCAAGTGACTTACCGTGTAGTGCATGTTGTACATGTTTGACAAAGTTCTTAAACCAAGTGATTTGGCTTTTTTAATTTGGTTTACTTTCAGCGGACAAAAAGTCAGCAAAAGTCCACCAGCAGTAGCGTCAACACAGGTACGATATACATGTACATGTAGGCCAACTACATAAAGTGGATGATTGGAAGCAAGGATTACAGCAATTGAAAAAGTAACAGCAGTCGCTCTTATTTTCCTGCCAAAAAGTGTTCAGTAATGCTATCGTTGTAACTGAAGTACCTGTATTCAGTAAAACCATCATGGTATATTTTCCATTGTGACAGTCATTTATGACAACTTTTTCAGAGTAAATAGTTCTTTGAGTAGGCATTGGGAGACATGATTGCCATTATTATTTATTGGGCATGACACAAACAGGGAAAACATGCTGCCGGTACATGTATACAATGGAAATAACCTAAAAGTACAAAAGATAGTGACATGTGCGCAGAATATTAAACGTTAAAATACCTTCAAGCTGTGACCCAATTCTCTTCAACTGCAACACAAGTACCTCTGGCTATACGTATATTATTATTTTAAGAAGTTTGAAAATGTTTTTTAAAGCTTAACTGAGAAAATACACAGAATAAGAATATTCTGTAAAGTTTCAACGAGCAGCTCAGCTCAGTCAGTTGAACACGATTATTAGGAAAAGTCGAAGACCAGACTGTTATGGTTGGAAGTAATGACATCTCAAAATCAGCCTTTACTGAGCTGTATCTTAGCTGGGCCAATAAGGTTCCTTATATCCCTTAGAAGAGCAAAAACATTCTGTGAGGATCAGCAAGCTACGCGTATCTGCGTGAAGTTCTGAAGTCACAAATTAAAACCACTGTTTTTTTATGCTGACCGGTGATCATTAACTATAAAATGCCACACTTCTGATAATATCACAATTATAAGACCATATAATACTTTCATCGTGACATGTAAGACATCCATTATACCTGGTAAAAAAATTGAAAAAAAACAACAACAAATTTTCTGTTTAAAACCCACTCATCCATTCGTAACTGTAATTTGTTACAACTCCCCAATAAGAGTGATTAAAATTGTGTATGTACTTGCATGTAGGAACACGAGCATTTATTAACCAACTAATTTTAAATAGTTTTTTTTGACACATAAGCGAATATAAGATCTTTAAACGCAAGTGAGTTGTAATTCATTGTATTAGTAGCTTTTGTTGACGTTGAAATGTGAATTATGAAAGCACAGTCCACAACGAGGATGATTCAGCAGCAGCATGCATACAGTGTGTAGTTTTTTTATTTCTTACATGATATTGTCACTTTTCCACAGGTGAATGCGAGTCAAATGACACCAGCCCATTCGAAGATATCCAGCGGTGACAGGCCGAAGAAACGAACTAAAAGGTATACATGCAATTATTGTCAGGTTTAAAATTGTTTGTGCTTTGTGCGAAATTAACGGTCGGTATAAATAAGGGAATAAAACGTGCTTGGCCATTTTAAACTGAAACGTTTGTTTAAGACAGACCAAGCACACATTTATTCTCATTCTTAAAAACCGTTTTAGTCAGAGAGTCCAACGAAGTCAATAAACGATAAATTCCAAGGATTTCGTTTAAAGATTTTACTTTCACACCCGCATCCAATTTACAAGTGCAAGTACATGAACACATGTACGTATAGTTCAGAAGAATCTCCTTAAATGGACTTGGCACGGACATGGCTAGTTCTGCGTGTCACGGTGCACGCAGGTGCCAGGGCATTTTATGTAGCGGGCATTATCAAAATTTTAATACACGGTCAGGTTGCTTGTTGTTAAAGAGAGAAACTGTCTAAGGTATTGTTGAAGACATATTAATCCAACCTTGTGCATTTGATTGATGTGAACGTAGGTCGCATGATGTCAGGAGTAAAAAGAAACGCAAAAAAGAGAAGTCAAAGGAAGCCAAGAAGAAATCCAGAACTCACAAGCGAGGCTACCGCCGCTCCGATTCTGACTCTAGCTCCGAGTCCAGTTCATTTGATTCATCAGCATCTTCTGATTCAGAAGTAGAGACGCCGAAACAAAGGTGAGTAAAACCCTTTTCTGCGGATTTCCAGGCCCTGGTCCTTTAAGAGTTAGGCATTAAGGGGAGCAGCCCTTACGCAAATTGGGTTTCTGTTTTTGTTGTAAACGAGCAAGCGCTCGTGGGCAGTTTTTCTTCTTAGTCGTACTTGTTTTCTTAGTTGTATTTGTTTTCTGGAACGTAATCTCGTTCAGTCTTTTTTGCTTTAGGGTGTAAATGATTTCTTTTTTATTTTGTGTCGAATAAACAGACTTAAAAGGATCTACGATAGACCATAGAGTCCATGTACAACGTTCGTTGTACATGGACCCTTTATAATTTCATATACAGATATACTCTTAAATACCTAGTATTTTGGAGTTGAATATTTACCTGTTCACAAAAATTAATGTTCGGTGTCAAATACCCAGTTGGCACATGTACTGATGATTGGGCTTTCCTGTTTTTAAACGTCATTATTAACTATATGCTTTAGGGAGAAAAGTGCTTGAAATGTGTGTACTTCATTTGTAAATTTTCTATCCTTTTTGCGTGTTGACTTTCCGTCCGAATTCTTTTTGATATGGTTGTTGCTGAAGAAAGCACCGCACACGCGACCCCCACGAAGATACACCACGTAAAAAACGCACCTATGAGATGGCAGCGGATTCAAGAAAACAGAAGTCTACCAAGATGCCCGGCGAAGAAATTAAACGACATGATTCCTATGAGAGTGGAAGTACGAGACACAGGGATAGACCATCAGACAAACACAGGGATAGACCATCAGGCAAACACCGTCACAGACATACAGATAGACATCGAGTGTCCGCTTCACCGTCCAGTCGAAGGCAGACTTCAGACACTGCACGCCACACCAATCGTTCAAGCAATTCGACTCAAGACCGCAGGTAGACGGGCAAAATATCCAGAACGACAGAGATGGATGATACTGGGAAATGAACGTGCTTCTCGGTGAAACTCAACCGGCGCGTGAAAAATCAGAAAGCAATTTGACATCACCATGGCCAGTCCCTTCTTCCGTAACAAATTATCTGACTTATCTTTCGCTAATGCAAAGTAGACATAAAGCGATGCTATTATGCAAGCTCTTTGATCTCCATAAAAAGCGCCTCATAAATACCTGAGATCGATTTAAAGCTTGCATAGTGGACAAAAGAGGTACTGGTCTGTGATTGGTTTTTAAGATGTGATTGTTTTTAAGTTGGCGACGTCAGCGCCACTCCAGTTAATACTCGGTTACTGTTTACGACTGGAATAAATTTTGCAGGAGCTTGTAGATATGCACCATATAAACAGGTGTGGATTACTGACTACCATTTTAACAGTGCTTCCTTTTCGCATAGACGTCACTAAGGATATTTTGAAAAACCTGCATCCTGTAAGCCTATTGAAAGAGTTTATGAACTGAAATTGTCGGTGATTGAAAGTTTGGCGCCAAACAAAGTCTTTATTTTTAAGATGACGGGATAATCGCGTTGCTTTTGCTGATGTATACATTTATGTTAGTAGGTGCCATTGCGAAAATTAATGTTTAGGACATGTGCATTTCTTCAGCCGCTCCGTGAGGTTTTATTTGTGAACGGCATTGGCGGATTTGGGGATGAGCGCAAACGGAGCGATGCTCCCAGTCTGCGAAAAGGGTTTTTAGTAATAGTGTGAAGTGAAGAGAACAACTTTTGTGGCCCTTACTCCCCATAGCATGCATAAAACCCTCAAATTTATCCTCACGTCTCACAGGCAATAAAAATTGCATGAAGAAATCCTCCGATGATTTTGTCAGCCCCCATTCCCCCCCGAACATTACTTTTGTTTTGGGTCAGCTCCAGAACGACACCTAATTGCGCAATAAAAGTGCAACGTACAACCCCCACTGACTTCATGAAAAAAAGGTTAAGACGAGAAAAAAACTGTTGGCTGCTGGGGTATTAAATGGAGAGTTGGTCGGTCAAGAGTCCATTACAGGGGAATGAACGTGTTTTTTGCAAGGTTTTCAGGATTTGACGGGTCGGTTTTCAACTTGTGACTGATTGGGCAGACCTAAAAATCGTGCGAAATTTGGCCGTCAACTAATTTAAAAAGCCATTTGAAGCTCACAAGGTTCGCTTTCTCATCAAAAACGAGTGCACTAATGCGCAATACGAGAACCAGCTTTCTACGTAAAGTATATTAGACTTACTATTTATATACTGCTGAAATCAGCAGTGTCCAGAGCCATTTTTGTACATGTATTTGATTTTTCTTTGATTGACAGGAATTTATCGAGGACCATGCAAGAGTCTTTACTATAAAGTCTAAACTCAAGCATAGTTTTTAATGCAGCATCGTCCTCTCTTACGGAGGAATGGGTAGAAATGCCGCAGAAATCGCTTCACTGTACTTTTTACATATACACACTGTACCATCTCAGTAATTGCGTCCTTGTAGACTTACGCGCATTTTTTATTTCTGAATTGAATTGGGATGGTTGAATGCAAAATGGCATTGTACGGAACTATAAGACAAACGCACAATAAAAGATAATGTTTAAGAATTCCTCACAAATTTATTAATCACTGATAAAAAGGCATGCGATGTGGTTAATCGTTGGCACGTAACGTCTGCACCGGGAATGAAACATTTACAAGACCGAATTCTCGCATTTAAGTTGAGCCTCAAATACAAAGCAGTGTAGCAATCTAAACAGTCCAAAGCGAAATTATAGTATTACTGATGATACAACTTGAAATTATACAGTTGATTGAAAAAGGGCTCAGACTTTAAGAACTATCTTTGTTTCTAAATCATGCATGTACATGTAACCACCACACTCACGAAATGGCATGAAAAACTACTTCCGAGTAAGACAAACAGGAGTATAAGACGCAGGAGATTATCTAATATGTAAAATGTGCACTCGTAGAGTACATCGAATAAGCTAACATTTCACTGTGAGCATCTGATAAACAGAATCAGAATGATTTGAAGAAGGAAATCCAATTAAAACAAAAGAGGAGCTAGTTATGACAATCCTGTTTTCGTTCAGTTGACGGGTTAGATGTTGATGTGGATTATTTTTACTCCCTTTTGTCATACAAATGAATTCAGTTCGGTAGGATACGTCCAACCTCGGCGTGTGTGTGTCCAGGTGAGTGCACGGGTTGCAATGACTAAGTTTCGAGGAGGTGTGGTCCGGAGATCCGGCAAAGGAGGAACACAGCTGATTGCGTCTAGAGTGCCGAGTCCCAAGTACATGTACAGTACTCCTATGCAGACGAGGACAGTGTGCATCAAGGACCGAGAATGATTTTGTACCTCTTTATACTCTTATAGACAGTACCGAAATTTGCGTACTCAATAACTGGTCTCACAAGACTGATGTAAACTATTGCAAGGGAGTGGCACACTTCACCATTTCATCGACTTGATCGTTCCATTTAAAATCTGGCCGGATATAATACACCCCAAAATTCGACGATATTACAGTTCTAGAGGAAATCCTAGATCAGGAGAGTTTCTCGCAAAACAAACGTCCATACTCTGACATTTCCTGAAGTTGAGATGCAGTTCGTTTGGCAGTGACCATTCATGTACATGTAGCTGTGTCAGAACTGATGAGAGGTTTGTTTCAGTTAAAGTTGATGGCATCTTCACCAAGTAAGGCTCTCATCATACATCTTGAAAAAAAATATACATCTTGAAAATAGTTCGCGGTACCCGCTGCTTCATTTGACTCGGACCGGCCAGCCGACCCCGGCAAGCTCGGTGGTGAGTGGTTAAGACATCTGCACTAGTAAACAGGAGGTTGTGGGTTCGAGTCCCACCCGAGAAAGCTCATGAGGTTTTTTTCGCAAGCTCTCGGACAAGCACTGAGCATACAGTGCTTATTAATATACTTGGGTAAGGGCAAAACCTGTTATATACAATGCCCCAGTTTTGTTCCTTGAAAGTGCACCTTCGTGCGTATGAGGATAAATGCACTGTTTGTTGCGCATGGGTAGGTCCCTTGCAAGTGCACTGAAGTGCAGACATGCTCAAGTGTGTAAGTAAAATGTTGGTTGTGCTGACAACCTTATGGAGTACCTGTGTGAATGTTCTGTCACCGATTTATGGTGTGTTGCCACGATCAACTTTTATGCCGGTAAGCATGGCGATGGCCACAGTGTGGTCAACACGGTCAATGTAAGTTTGATAAGTCGGTACACGGTGACGTTGGTGCAGATCTGCGTTTCTCGACGTGGCAAGGAATGTGTATTGAACGTGAAGCAAGCATTGCATAAAGTAGGCACGTCCTTCTGGTTTCGGTACTGCACAAGATCCATTCGTCGTTGCATCTGGCATTATAATGATTAAATGCCAACACCAACACCAATGTTCGAAGAGGACCGTTACCCCGACATCATCCTATTTTGTTTAAACCCCTAGATAGGATTGGCTGCTTTAATTTTTGAAACCTTCCTGGAATTATAAGTTTCTTCTGCAGACTTGGTCTCCCTTTTGACTTTATTCCTGAGGTATACCTCCACAGTTTCGGGTTATTGTTTTTGAATGTTTTTAACGCTTGACAATCAGGTCCTTAATATGCAGTGTTGCATACTTTTTTTATTTTCATGAACTCCAACTATGCAACCGGGGAAGAAAACTTTGATCGATGAAGGGCATTTCATAAAACGCCGTACAGTGCCGTATGGCGATGGCAATTTTTCAAAAATAACTGCGGCCGTTTTACGCTTCCGTATGTCTCAAACTGCAACGGCGTATATGTAGTTGGTGGACGTGGTGACGAAAAGCAGTTGCACATCACACTCAACTCCAAAACCTGTGAAGGTTTTCATCTCAAGTTCGCTAGAGGAGAAGAAAGAAACTTACGTTGCAAGGATAAAAAAACCTCGTCAACCAGGTGGATATCTGTGTTCTGTGTTATTCGTACGGCTGCGAGAAGATAGTTCGAAGCTTTGTACAGTCTGTCCAGGAGGTCTATGATTCACGGATAGACGATGGAGCGATGCGTAGACATACCATTATGTTGACACCATGGGCACAGTCGCAGCATAGTAGACCGTGCGTGCTTCCGAAAACTTCTATTCATGACAGAGTAAATGATGACATTCCACCAACTGTTCGTTAGTCCAAGCCAGATGGCGGTAAATTCCAGCCACTCGTCTAAAGCAGCATGACCCTCCGATATTGCGCCATGCAGGAGTTTCACTTGGTAAACCGACCAGCTGACAGCAAATGCGACTGTCACTGTAGTGACGACTCCTACAGCTTTGCCTCGGACAGTGCGCGGTGGCAGGCTTGGTCGGCCAGCGTCTTCGGGGGGAGGGAGAACTACTACACGACAGTGTCGTGTAAGGTGATTCGCGTGCTGCCGTGCGATCCAAAAGATTTTGATGTTCATCAGTAAGATAAGAACGAGGGGTATAACGTAAAATATCGCAACAGATGCGGTGCTTGTGACGATGCCCCTTCCCGCCGTCATGCAAACTGCTGAACATTTGTTGTAAACTACTTCGTTGCTCAGTGTGGTTGCCACGGCGCTAAGGGCACACGCGAACCATACTGCCACGACGGCAACAATGCTTCTCCTCTTTGGAAGAATCAACGAATAACGGAGTGGTCTCCTGATAGCTAGTAAGCGGTCAAAAGTCATAATGATGACCATGACCACCGACCGAGACAGTGGTGAATGTGTTGAAAGATATGAATGTCGCAACACATATCCACTGTGGGAATATCCAGTGACCCATTATCTCGGCAGGTAAGGATGTGCAAGCGATGAGTGCCACACCGAGGTCAGCCAGAGCAAGAGACGTAATGAATACCTTGGCACTCTCTGAGAACTCTCCCACTTTCCTAGTGACCAAAATACTTAGCAAATTGCCAACAAGGGTAAGTGAAAAATCGAGGCCAATGTAGGTTGCCCTTAATATTCGACGAAGGGAATGTTCAGATGGGACACAGTCGTGGAAGGCTGCAGTGGGAGAATGATCCATGACTGAGGAATGGCTGTTGTCTTTAATTATAATGGCTTCGCTCGGAAAGAGTTTTTAGCCAACGGCGATCTACTCACGCCGTAAAGAATTGGACTTTGACTGGTACTTGATTGCTACCGCATGTGCAAAGCTCGGAGCAGCCAGACGTCAGCAGCGCAGATCGTGATCAGTTGGTTAGAATTGGTGGTTGTATTATCAACCTGAGCCCCTCTAAAATGAGTACCCTTATAAAACAATTATACCACTGAAAAATCTAAATCACCACCCCCTCTGATTAAATTCGTTTTACTCGTTATTTTCTCCAACTCCCAGAGTCAGACTGTATATACGTATTCTTAAGGAGCCATGACGAGAATGTTACTTGGTAACATGTTTTGTGCAAACATGAGAAAACTATCCGACAACCCTATTTTAAATGACTCTCGCTGAAAAGTGTATCTTTTTAAAGGATCTATGCAATGATTTTTGTAGGATATATGCAATAATTTTTTGTAGGATTCACTTTTTTCCATATGTATGTCAGTTTATTGCTCTCCCATCAGCTAATATTCAATAACATTAATTGCAATAATGACGAAGAATAAATTATCTTGTAACAATTAAAGTAGTAACAAAAGAATTATTCATTACAAAGAAGAAAATAATTTTCCCAATTTCAGCAAACCTTAGGGATAGCGCTAGCCTGATAGCAAAAATCATATCTCTCACCTTTATGGTATGTCTCGACAACTTTGTTGAAAACTCTTCGCGCATCATTATACTCTTAGTCTATGGGATAAAACTGTTTGAGGTCCCTTTTTAGTTAAATGTATTAAAAAGTGTACTTTTCAAACATTGAAACTGTCCGAGCTTTTTTTTGAGAAGGGAGGGCGCTGTACCTGTGATGTAAATCAAGGGAGACACTGCTCAGTTTACATGTTTTCATGTTCAAAATTTAAACCTCACTACACGTATTTCTTTTTGAAAACATTTCTGTGGAAATGCTCGCAGGCTTATTTTCATGTACATACACAACATCCAAAACAGGGGGAATTTACAATCCCCCCCCAAAAAAAATCGCGCAGTTTTCTGTGCACGGGTTAATGCAACATTGGCGTTCAGTGCCTTGGATGACATCACAGGTTTACTAATGAATTGCACATTTTTCATTAATATAAATATTACCCTAGCAAAACAAAAATAGGTTTATTTAAAAAACGACGTAACTTCAATGGTTTTTGTGAAATAATTCTACATCAAAGTACCTTTAAACATTTACAATTGTCCATGTTTTTCCTATGGAACGAGGTCTGTGTTGCTGTGACGTCATTTATAAGACGTTACTATGGGTGAATTTCATTTCTAAATTTGAACCCAGAATTAAAAAAAAGAGTCAATGGAATTATTTGTGATTAAACGAATGAATGATAATGGAACAAATGAAAACAAACTCTGGAGAGGACAAGCGTGTACAAGTACAGTTAAGCATCCTGCTCTTTAGCCAGGGAAGCTTTTTGCCCTGAAACACGAGTGTGTATCTGCAGACAAGAGAGTGACAATATGATGAATTATTTATAGCGTGCGTTTAATACTGTCGGTCAAAGGGAGGGTATACGTTTCCGTTACTGCGGCACTCGGCACGCTTGCCAAATAGTGAAAGTTGAAAGTCCACTCATTAATATCCCACTGAATCTACATACATGTACTGAACTTTGGAGGAGACAGACTCATTCAAACATGAACTTGCCAACAGTTCGAGAATGACTAATGCACAATCCTGGGTTGACGAGGACGATGAAACTGAAATTGTCTTTCATCTTTGCATTGACACTGGTTTACTTCCAACATACCACATGACCAGCTCGGCATGACTTATAGTCTTTTCCCCTGGGTGCCGTGACTCGCGGGATGGCATCACTCTTCCTGACCAGCATGGATTGGTTTGGAACAAGGTTTGTCTCAAAGGACTACAAGTACTTCAACAAATTTCATTGATAGCAATTAATCTGTGCTACATATTCACCATATCAGGACATGCTACAAACCCATCTAGTGCAATCTACTGATTTTTCAGA